ATGAATAGAGAAGGAGCAAATGTTAACTGAAAACTGAGTACTAATTTGTAATTCCACATGAGGAACATCGAAAAAAATAATATTAAAAGAAAAATACACCACACAATGTACGAAATGTATAAATAGACACAACGTATTCCTATATGAAAATCGTTGCGCATACCTATTTAGATTTATGTTTCAATTCTATGATATGACAAATTTATAATTATGAAAAGCCTTTTGAATTAAAAGGAGGATTACTGGCAAAACCCCAGAATTCATAATAAAATAACCTTTGATATGCAATTTTTCCAACTTGTATATGCGTTGCGTAAGCAATATACTTATCAAACAAAGATAACAGTGCTAAGCGGCCGCGTTTCCATTTATATAGTGGCTTAGGTCGTAGTCAATTAAACTCAATCCGAATACGAGCATATACGTTCGAATCGTAAAATACATAAAACTCAAAATTTATTTCATTTTTATTTTATTTATTGGAGTCTAAGCATATCATAATTCAATTTCTTTAATAGCATATTTTACTTCCTAATATAATTAAAATATATCAGGAAAATATGTTCATATGATTAGGTTTATTGAATATTTTCTATTATGCGTATTTACACAAATGTGATAATCACACATACATTCTTAAATACACGTACGCAGATGCTTGTTTTCTTGCCCGCACAAGCAATGACTTTTGTCTACGCTTTTGCGGGTTGAAAGATCGCAGGCAAGGAGGGATTGGGGCGCACTGCCACATAATATTTCAGATATATATTTATTTATCGAATTAGTTTAAAACGATTATAGGTTGTATTGTGTATTTATATATAATATAATATATATTATAGTACGAAAATAATCATAAATGCCTAAGAACAATACAAAATAAACTAATAATATCTCCTAGTTAGAACGCCCTGTGTATAGTGGCAAGCCAACGAAATAACGGCGAGTTCGCGCAGACATTGTGTTGTTGAAAGTAACCAAATGACGATTTTGTCGACAACATACCATATATACATATTGAAGCTCGCATACATATTGACGCCGAATTTTGCGCATCGTGGCGCAGTTGACAAAATTTGTTTCAATCGACAATTTTACGACAGTGTCGATCGGCTATGTTGTCTCGTTTGTCCTTTTTGCAGTGGTTTGCTGTTGAAAATTGACTTATGCTCTTTTGAAATATTGCGATTACCGATTGGGCTGCATTTTCATAGCGTCGTATTTAGATAAAATGGGCTAAATCGACAAACTATGAAATAATGATAATTACTACACATATAAAAGTACTATATGGACTGTGCTTAGAATATATAGAAGTAGTTAATGATTTCATATGAATGGCAATTTTATATAAATTTTATAATTTAATGCCATAAATAGTGCATAATATGAAAAAAATTAAAATAATATTTCAAATCGCTAAGAGGTCATGTTGCCAATTCTTTTTTCTGAAGGGAACACCAGACAAATTCTTCAATTTCTGATTTTTAGCAAATGTTGTGAAGCAGCAGCTTGTGGGCAACATACAAATGCGAGGGGAATGGTAGGATCAGTTGTAAAATTGAAACTTCTTCAATAATAATATTCAAGCGAACTCGCGGCATATTTTCTAAGTATTTTATATTACAACGACAACAAATTTATTCATAAGGAACGTGCGTCTGCTTCAAAGCAAAGTGCGCTCGTTCATAACTCTGCGCCGCGCTATTTTTTCTGTGCGCCTGGCAAACCGCATTTGGTTTTCATATAGAATTCCTGGGCAAATACGCGAAAATTAAGTTTATATTTATAATCAGGGGTGAAAGGGAGTAGCGAAAGCAGAGAACGTATATCATATGATATCACATGATATACGTTCTCTGGCGAAAGTCCCATTCACAATAGTTTCGCCACCTCTGAGGCGTACGTTCACAATAAAACCAACATGGTGGCCATGGTGAGTTAGGGTGGCGAGGGGTTAAAACGGGTTGCGCATAGCAGAAAACGCCTAAATAATTATTTATATATATTTTAAATTTTGGTTATTAATTGATGTTTAATGCTAACAACATATATTATACCTTGTTGATATAGGTAAATATGAGAAATGTTTTAAAGCATTTTAAATAACTTATTAATGGGCAAACTAAAAATTCAATTTAACTATGAGTGGACGGGAAGAAATAACTATTGTAACAGAATTTGATACTATAAGTAATAATAATTTATATAATCAAAAAAGCAAAACATATCATTGTCTTAGAAGTGATAATAATTCATTTAAACAATGAAGCAAAATTTATCATTGTACTTATATCAAGAAATAGTTACTGTGCCAATATTTTCTCTAATTTAAGTATAGATTTATTTAATCACAAATTTTATTTACGTTTTATATATCAGCAATTAACGGTGGATATATGTACAATAGTTTATTACAACTTTTGACATACAAAATTGCCATATTATTATATAGTTCGTAGTTTAGTTTTTAAATATATAGACTTCTAAAATAAATTTATAATATAAATTAAGTTGCAATATCTTTATAGTACAAAATACGGTAGGCATATCAGGTAGCTGTCTCTGTATTTCAACATGTAGCGATTATAATATGTACAATATTTTACATATAACTCTTTACATAAATAAATTACCAAAGTGTTATATAGTTCTAAATTTTGTTTTTAAATATATAGACTCCTAAAATAAATTATTTGTTGAAGTTGCAATATCTTTATAGTATAAAACATGGTATAAGGGTATAAAATGCGGTAGATATATTTCTTTTTTAAAAAGTAATTTAAAATTAGCTTGTGCAACACTGTTACGCAATGCTCAATAGCAATACTGGCATTTGAATTTATTAACAACTTTTAGTCAAACGCACTAATACACACCTGCTTATTGATAAAAGTTCTCGTGTGAGCAGTTTTATCAGGAGCAATATTAAATATTCATTATTTTACGAAGAGTATGTTGCAAATTTATGAACATTGCCCTCAGTTTCGTTGAATAAGCATTTTCTGCATCCCGTTATTTGACATGGTTGCTTAATTGCACCTTACATTTTTCTGTGGTGAATATTTATTAAGTTACCACAGTTAAAATAAAGGCATAAATATATATCGTAATTACTCTAAAATTTGCCAATAATAGCCGCTCCTTTAAGAACATATATTAAAATAAACTTATATTATTTTGAAAACATATTAAAGTTTTACATATAACCAATATTTTTCGGACAACTTTTTCACAAATTAAAAGAAAATAACAAGATGCAACCATTTTCTGGTTAAAAGCCGGCCATCTTGGATGTCAATAGAAACTCAACCCCTAGGCCAGGGTAGGCGAACCTTTATGCATCAACGTGCCATTTTTTCTAAAAAAAAGTTTAATGGGGTCATTCGCGTGCCATCAAATAATTTTGACTTTCTGATTATTGGGAAAATAATAATTATAAATACTATCAAAACTCTTTATTAAATAAAGTAAGCAAAAGAGGTACATTTTGGTATGTTTATATTAAATTTCAGTAAAATTAGTGTGACTTCTGTTGCTGCAGGTTAGATGACAAATAATTTATGTTAGGGTTGTAAGATGTTACTTTTAGCAAAATGCATGCTGAACTAGATTCATCTGTCAAACGGTTTCTAACCGAGTTTTTAATCTTATTCATCTCTGAAAATAATGTTTAAAGAATCGATCACAGAAATAAATTCTTCAGTAATTTTTTCTTTGTCTGTTGTCTCGTGAACCTCACCCTGCGCATCGAACACTCCGCAGCGTAGGAGCATCGCGTTCGATCGTCTTAAAATACCTAATTCTGCGACGTGCCCAAAATATTGTGTCGCGTGCCATCAATGGCACGCGTGCCATTGGTTCGCCTACCCTGCCCTAGGCGGACTTGACGTTTCTCCATGGACCCCTCTCAGCTGTAGCTTTGTTTACATCCATCAGCTGATTCTTTCTCTACTCCCCCTTTAAGATGCTCATAGTATATTATTATGTTGCTTAATTTGAATTGAAAAATACTGATGCATAAATGACTTATTTTCCTAATATAATAATAATATACGTAAAAATATAAATACAAATAAATTCATACCTATAGTCGTTTTTAAAATAAATTCGATAAATAAAATATATATCTCATATAATTATGTGGCAGTGTGCCCCTGACTCATTCTTGCTTGCGATTGTTCAACTTGTTTCTCGCAAAAAGCAAGAAGTGTGGACAAAAGTCATTGATTGTGCGGGGCAAGCATCAGCGTACGTGTATTTAAGAATGCATGTGTGATTATCACATTTGTGTAAATAGGCATAATAATAAGGGAATATTCAATAAACCTAAATATATGAACATATTTTCCTGATATATTTTAATTATATCAGGAAGTAAAATATATTATTAAAGTAATTGAATTGCTTAGACTCCAATTAATAAATAAAAAAGTTAAATAAAATTTCATTTACATGAGTTTTAAGATTCGAACTTATATGCTCGTATTCGGAATGAGCTTAACTCCTTCACTCTTACGACCTAAGCCACCACAAAAGTGGAAACGCGGCCGCTTAGCCACCGTTTTATTGTTATCCTTTGCTTAATAAGCAATTACTCACGCAACGCACATACATAAGTTGGAAAAATTGCCTATTAAATGTTTATTTTATTATGAATTCTGGGGTTTTTACCGATAATACAGATTTTTAATTCAGAAGGCTTTTCATAATTATAAATTTGTCATATCATAGAAATTGAAAACATAAATCTAAATAGGTATGCGCAACGATTTTTCATTTAGGAATATTCGTTGTGTCTATTTATAGCATTTCGCACATTGCGTGGTGTATTTTTTTTTTTTCGAAGTTATATTTTTCGATGTTCCCTCATCTGGAATTACAAATTAGTACTCAAAAGGATTTTATTTAACATTTGGTGCTTCTATTCATTTACGTTCTCTGATAAAATGTTCGCTGTCGAACCTGCACCTTGTCGTTCTTCTAAGTTCTCTGGTCAAACTACCATAATGACAGTTTATTTTATAAATTATTAAGACAAGTATTGCTTAACGTAAAAAATTAACAAGCATTTCCATGTCTCTTTTTTGATTTTATAAATTTTCGATTAAAAGAAATCTGAAAATCTTAATTATATTGTGCTCAAGTAACTTCGAACACAACATTTAATTTAATTTTATATTTGCTTCGAGAGAGAGAGAGCTATCAAAACTCACATTCTTTATAACATTTGTCAAGGATAATACTGTCGACATAAATAGATTGGGTATTTTAAAAATTACTTTTGGGCATTTTACATTAACATATATATTATTTTTAGGTGCTCGGTTTCCGAGTAGATCTATATCGCGCATACACAACCCTAAATACGTGTATTCATATAAATAAATACTGGATAAGTATATAGATAAATTAATTTAAACTTTTTCAAAATTCATATGACATATAATAATATATAAATAAAAAAAATTTTGACACAGAAATACAACTCATAATAAAATATCATTTTTTTATGAGGAACGCTTTAAATAGAATACTTCGCATTTATAACAAAAAAAAAAAATAAAAACTGTAGTTTGCACGGAATTTAATGCAACTGTGTCGTTTTTTAAAATTTCGTTTCGAACTGATTTTGTCAGCTACTTTTTAAGTTTATTTCTGGTATTCTGAATTTTTTTAGCTGATCAAAATTCCCTAATCTTAATTGCTATGAACATAATCAGGGAACGCGTTTGAGAGAAAAAATGAGGGCAATTATCATTAATTACTATATTCCCTGTTTTTTTTTTTAATTTATCTGTTGAATATCACTTTACTGAATTGCAGTTTACGCAACAAACCATAAAACATCGGGCACTGGCTCTGATAAGATTGTCAAGATAATAATTATAGTCCGTAGAGTCTGCGAGTTAAGAATGTTCCACGTATTTATTTAGAAACATACATACATGTTTGATAACAAGTCAATATACATAGCTCTTAAAACATAATATTTACCTCTCAAATAATTGCCATTATAGAGTGCAGCAAACGTTTGATTCTTCTTTAGAGCAGTAAATATTGTATCACGCAAGACCTCAAAGTGCGACATATACTCTTGTTTGTAACGTTTTATGTTTATTTCTGAGTTTATTTTTCCAAAAATTTCGTCCATTTTTACTGATTATTCAATATCGGTGGAATACTATAATAGTAAAATATTTTCAAAAACTCTAATGCTAGTCCAATCTCCTTTAATTAGCGGAGCTCCTTAAATGACCGGTAAATCTGGTATAAAGTGTAAAGTAGTAGTAAATAACCATTCTTTTAGGATGACACAAATTACAAAAAAAGCGAATACAAAAGAAAATAGAGTAAAAAAGCTCAGGACTTGGCAATCAGCATGGGTTTCCTACTAACCAGAGATAAAGAGATGCCCAACTCGTCTCACTGGAAATTAGAGCGCAATTGATAAACGTCAAAACCTACTGAACTCAAGCAACTGTCAAAGTTCAGTAGGTCTGACGTTTAGCAATTGGAAAAAGAGGGACGGCCAGACAGAAATCCTACAGAAAAATATGTCAACAGAGAGATTTCTTGCCGCTGTTAAAGATCACTAACAAAAGTTGGAAAACAATGAAAATGAAAGAAAACGCGAAATTGAAATTTATGTGATAATATCTTTTGTGATGTCATGCTAAGTGGTATTGATTTTCAATTGAAAATTTTTAAAAACATTTATTAATTGAGAGCTAATACATTTATTCATTTGATTACGTATTGAAAGTTCAAAAATCAATTGTTTAATAAATCACAAAATCACAAAAAAAAAGAGTATAAAAAGTTTCTGCATATGTTTAACGGATACATGTATATTAATATCTAATCTTAATAAATAATGGGTATTTTAATTTAAATTCCCAAAAATTATTATTTTGTCCCATCTGGCTACAATGGAAAATGTTATAACGCTAATTTTGAGGCGCTCTCACATTGGAAAGAGTTGGGCATCCCATTATCCATGCTACTAACATATTACTACTAAAACTACACTATTTATACGCAACATTGGGATTCTAATTGTCGTACAATTGTTGTGGAAATTGTATTTCGATGTGATCACTAGAATTTCAACATATTTCCAAATAAAGCTTTTAATGAATAAGTGAAACAATGTGATTCCAAAAACAAAGTTTTTTGTGTTACACATAAACAGGGTTGCGAATTTTTTAATTAAAAACTTTAGAATGAAAAATTAAGCTTTAAATTAAAAATTATATTTTCATTTTTAATCCTGATATTGGCATTAAAAATAAGTTTTTTATTTTTTAATCCAAGATGTTTGGGATTAAAAATTGAAAATGGAAAATAATAATTTTTATTTCAACGATGGCGAAAATATGTTAATTCTAAAACAAGTTCTTTTTTCGATTCTTATTTACATATATGCTTAAGATAAAAAATTTTATTTTTCTATCCGGTAGTTAGGATTAAAATTGTTTTTTTTTTTATTATTTTTTGGTGGTTTATAAATTACACAGTGAACAGGAATTCAGCTGTTTTTTAATGTTTGTGAGAGCACGCAAAAATATGTAAAATATCATAACTGAAAATAAAAAATTGAAATGTCAAACCAGACGCAATGAAATAAGAGAGCAGCAACAAAGAACGTATATCATAGAGAAAGTGCAATTGCGGACCAGCGTGTGAATTGTCAAAACCTAACAAGTTTGAATAGTTGATTTCACCTCAGCTAGCTCGGAAGGAGAAATTTTCACAGTGGCGCGTGAACAGAGCTGAGCATTGAATATAAATTATGCTCAAAAGCAGAGAATGTTAATAAATAGAGAAGGCGCAAATGTTAAAAAGTACTAAATTGAGCTTTTTGCAAGAGGGAACATCAAAAAATACAACTTCGACTCATTTGAAATACACCACGCAATGATCGAAACGGGGAAAAGGCTATAAATAGACACAAAAAATGTTCTTAAATGAATTATGCGCATTCTGATTTACATTTGCATATTACAAAAAAATCATAATTTTTTATTTATTTTATTATTTGGCATTTTAGCTAATTTCAATTCAATTACTTTAATACACACAACAATGACTTTTGTCTACACTTTTTGCGAGAAGCAAGTTAAACAATGGCAAACAAGGAGGGGTCAGGGGCGCACTGCCACATAATTATACCAGATATATTTTTATTAATCGAATTTTTTTTTAAAACGTTTATGTGTATTTATATTTATACTTAAATATTATAATATTGTGTAACTAAGTCCTAAGATATCAGTATTGCTCAATACAAATTAATCAATATGATAGTACAATATAAATCCTCCGTTGAAACGCCTCTGACCATGTTGGCACGCCATGGAAGTAACGGCGAGTTCGCGCGGAGAAGGGGCGGAGCAAAAAATTGAGTTCTGACAAAACATTGAAAAAACCAAATGACAACTTTCCCCACAAACACATATACATACGAGTTCGCATACATATTGACGCCGAATTTTGCGCATCGTCGTGGAGTTGACAAAATTTGTTTGAATAGACAATTTTGCGACAATGTCAGTCGGCTGTGTTGTCGCGTTTGTCGTTTTTGCAGTGCTTTGCTAATGAAAGTCGACTTATGCTCTTTTGAAATACTACGACTACGGATTGGGCTATATTAAGCCCAAGGAACTAATATAAGTAATAAGGAATTTCATATAAATGGCAATTTTATATAAATTTTATAATATAATGTCATATATAGTTCATAATATGAAATAAATTAAAATAATATTTCAAATCGCGAATAGGTCATGTTGCCAATTCTCCTTTCTGAATTGAACATCAGACAAATTCTTCAATTTCTGATTTTTTACATCGTCGTGAGGTAGCAGCTTGTGGGCAACGTACAAATGCGAGGGGAATGGTAGGATCAATTGTAAAATTGAAATTTTACTGAACAAATTCTAATTTAATATCTTCATTTTATTTAAACTTCATTTTCGTGCATTTGTAGTAGAAATTCCATATGAAAACGAATTTGGTTGATCAGGCGCACAGAAAATAGAGCGCAGTGCAGTTATAAACGATCGCACTTTAGTTTGTAGCATACGCGCGTTCCTTATGAATGAATTTGTTGGCGTTGTAATATGAAATATGTAGAAAACATAGCGCATGCTTGCTCGAATGTTATTGGTCGATGATGGCGCGTCTGCGATTTTTTTGTTGCTTGAGCGAATGTTTGATTTTTTTAACAAAAGGCATATTGAGGGGCATACATACATACATATGTACATATGTGTACATATATGCAAATATATTTGGACATGCGAATGTCCAGGAAATACAATTTCAAGAATATTCACATATAAATTGATCATTTGAAACTAGTAAACGACAATAGCTGTTTGAGTTTACAGATTTGAAAAGATTTCTCTATCATGTCTGTGGTGCTGCTTGTTATAACAGCTCGTTTCCGCAAATTCACATCAAATATTTGCCTGAGTTCACGTTCACATCCTAGCACAGATGTAGTTTTATTCCTTTTTTAATTTTTACAACATTTTTTTATTAAATATAATTTTTTTCTCATTATATAAATGTTCTTCAAAATCTATTATTTTCTTGTTATTCTAATTTTACCTAGGTGACAATTTACTTGGTTCCTACTTAGAGTGGTGTAGTTTGTTGAATTCTATTATCATGAGGCGAAGGTACCTTTCTGATGTGGTGTAATTGAACTTTCGAATTTGCGCATTTTCGATGTTCCCTTTTAATAGTTTACATTTAAGTACAGCTAACATTTGCGCCTTCTCTATTTATTAACATTCTCTGCTTTAACAGAAGGGTGTGATAACACTACCGGGTGATTAACCGGTAATTTAACCGATAGTTGGATTAAGGGGACAGTTGGTACTGAATCGGTGATTTAACCTGTAGGTGGCTTGCAGGCAGAACAGATTACCTGCCCATAAAGCCAAGTTAAGCAACTGCCTAGGACGCAAGAATTTTAGAGCGTCATTTTGGCTAATTTTCTTTACATATTTAATATTTTTATTTTGCTAATTGTAACAATTAAATATTAAATATTTGCAAATTTCATAAATACGATGATTTTTTGCAAGGACTGTGATGGATAAGTTTTTATAACAGCTATATACTATAATGGTCCGATATCGGCTGTTCCGACAAATAGCAGCTTCTTGATGAGAAAAGTACGGATACAAAATTTTATATCGATATCTCAAAAACTGAGGGACTAGTTCGCATATATACAGACGGATAGACAGACGGACATGGCTAAATTGACTCAGCTCATCTCGCTGATCATTTATATATACTATACTTTATAGGGTCTCTAACGGTTCCTCTTGGGTGTCATAAGCATCGTGACAAACTTAATATACCTTGTTCAGTATATATAAAGGTATAAAGCAAATCAAACACAACAGTTTTCGTATTGTGAGGTTTTCCTTTAGACATCACATATTTATGAGGGAATTGTAAGCATTTAAACTTTTGAACTTACGCCAGCATAAGATAACCCTCCCAAAATTCAAAATACACAATAGTGATTTTGTGAGGGCATGTGAATAAGGCAATAGACTTATCAACGATTTTCATAAAATTTGCTGAATTTCACTCAATAAAACTACATAATGATAGGGTCTGATAAGACCTAATGTGAAGTATAATTCTAACATGGTCTCCTAAAAATCATCTTTTTATTCTTGGCTAGGTTGCGCTCATGTAATTTCAAATTCGTTAGTAGAGAACATTTTTAAACTAAAATACAAAGTATTAAATTTAACTATTTTTTACAGTTTAATTAGGTGTTGGATACGTTAGAAGTTTTTGCACTTTCATTACGTGTTGGATACGTTAGAAGGAATGTTTCGAAAATATTTACAATTAGGTAAGAATTTCTAATGTTTTTAAATGCCGGCTGCACCTCACCTCACTTATTCAGAGGTGTCGCCGCAATTCAGAATTGTTGACGCCACGGTTTTCCTGAATTTGAATATGAATTATGAACCGTGAAAAATTAAGGATTTTAAAGAAACTTTTATTTTATTTAGTACTCCTGATTTTGAAGAATAAAACTAAGTAATTGAAAATATTATGTGAACATTCGGTATTCACAATATAAATATATACTCATACATACACTCAGAGGCATCAGTTAGCCCACACTGCATATAAACGAATATCATGTTAATTAATTTTATATTTACAGGGTCTAAGAGAATGTTTAGCCAGCTGGATTTCTAATATCATATAGGAAAACATCACTAAAAGCTAAAAACAGCACATATTACTGTTTTTGAACAAAAACAAGTAAGTTATTTAAGAGAATGGATAAAAAATCTACGTTTTTAGAACTCGTCAGCTCTCAGAGCAATTTATATAGTAACATGAAAAATTTTATATGTAACTTTATAATTTTTTTTATTTTTCCGCTATTGTTCATGCTTTGTTTTATAAATACATCTAAAAATTATTTCATAAAAATTAAGTGTACAAAGCCAAAGTCTCTTAATTTAAATCAGCGATAAATAAGTATATTTCAAAGGGGAAACTATCGATATTATCGATAGTATATTTTTTAACTATCGAGTGGTTCAACTATCAATAGTTTTGCAGCTCTACACCACCGGACGTTTTAAATTATATTTGTTAACACAATAGAGATAGATAGTTAATAGATATCGTTCAAATTTAATTTATGGTAATACGTTCTTACACTTTCTTTGTTGGTAGCAAGTGTTTAGACCAGTTTCTCTAAATTGAAACTGGGGGTCATCATCAACAAGAAAAAACTTTAACTTCGGTTGCACCGAACCTATAATATAGATATAGCCGCGGGAAACTTATAGTTTTCGAGATATTTACGTTTAAAGTTGAAAATTTCAACTATTTATTCCCGAAAGCCTGGGACGTTATTCTAAAGCCGACCCAAGATTTCTTCGAAAATAGCACCTTTGACACCCATACCAAATTTCGTGAAGATATTTCGTCAAATGAAAAGGAGTTCCATACAATCAATTAATTGCGATCGTTCAATTTTAATGGCAGTTATATGCTATAGTGGTCCCATATCGGCGGTTCCGACAAATGAGCAAATTCTTAGGGAGAAAAGGACGTGAGGAAAATGTCAGATCGATCAAAAACAGAGGGACTAGTTCGCGTGTGTACAGACAGATGGACATGGCTAAGTCGACTCAACTCTTAAGCAAACTTAATATACCCTCTTCAGGGTATAATGAAGTGGCACAAACTATTAACATTAAAACAACTGTGTCTGATTTTTCAAAATTAAAGGCACCAAAGGATTTAAATAATTAACTTTTGTTTGTTAATGTACTACTTATTATAAACTTTCCAAAAAATTAGGATAACCCTTTGGAATATGAGTGCTTTTTAAAAAAATTACCTGAATAATTTTCCAATTTGTAACTTATGTTCAATTTTACTTTAAACTCACCCTTAAGGCCAGAAGGTTGAATAATAATAACTAAGCTAAAATAGATTGTGACTAATATAGTTTATAATTTATTAAGCAAAATATATAAGCTGTCTTCGAATCGCAATTTCTCTGCTCGCTTCTGCTCTTTTGTCGAAAAAAAATTAATTATATGCAATAATATGTAAAAGCAACAACAAAGTTATCGAGTTGAATTCGTACAAGAGAGTGTACGGATACATCATTAAAGTCGTATTGCCCATCGCAAAGAGGGAAAGAGTTTTACATACAAGCACTTGATTCCGATCGTTCAGTTTGTATGGCTGGTATATGCTATAGTGATCTGATCTAAACAAATTTTTCGGATATTACATTGTTGCCTTAAGCAATAATTCATGCCTAATTTCATGAAGACACATCGTCAAATCACAAAGTTTCTCATACAAGGACTTGCTTCCGATTATTCAGATTGTATGGCAGCTATATGCTATAACTATATGCTGCTTCTTAGTAAGAGCTTCAAAATTTCATAGCTTAAAAACTAAAGGACTAGTTAGCGTATATACGGACATGGCTAAATCAACTCAGCTCATTAAGCTGATCATTTATGGATATATTTTAAAGGGTTTCCGACGTTTCCTTCTTGGTATTACAAACTTCGTGGTAAACTTAATATACCCTGTTCAGGGTATAAAAAGTGTTACATATTGTTATTTTCTTAAAATTTATGAAAAAGTTGTCCCAAAAATATGGTTTATATGTAAAACTTTAATATTTTTCAGAATCAGTTTATTTTAATATACAAGTATATTCTTGAAAGAGTGGGTATTATTGGCAAATTCAAGAATAACAAAGATTGATATTTATGCTTCTTTTTAACTGTGGCAAATTAATTAATATTCACTACAGAAAAAGTAGTTATACAGTCTATATTTAAAAACTAAACCTATAACTTTGTAATAATATAGTCATTTTTTTATGTAAATAGTTGTTAGTAAAACTTTGTACACATTTTCATCGCTAAATGCTGAAATATAAAGCGTAATAATTGTGATTAAAAAATATATACATATATTCTTAAATTACAGGAAACATCGGCTCTGTAATTATCTCTTGATATATCTTACAATTATAATGTTTGCTTTATTCTATAATAATATTCTTATGACTTCTAATACCAAATATATTATATATGTATATTCTTAAATTACAGGAAACATCGGCTCTGGAATTATCTCTTGGTATATCTTACAATCATAATTTTTGCTTTATTCTATAATAAATTCTGATGACTTCTAATACCAAATTCTTTTACAATACCATAGTTATTTTTTCCGGTCCATATACATCGAAAACCATTCCTTACTCTGGCAAAACGCAATGCAAATAATACTTGGGGATTGGAATGTAAAGGGTGACCCATGTCGAGGTTCCTTACCTTTTTAAAGAAAATAACACAGTCAATTCAAATTTAATGGGCAATGTTTATTATCATTCGAAAGAACATTCTTTTTTTTTTTCAAGATTATCTCTTTCAAATGTTGGCCGCGGCTACGTCTCAGATGGTCTATCCGTTGAGTCCAATTTTCGATTACTCGTTTAAGCATTTCGACTGGAAGCTGGCGTGATGTTTTGCTCCAAGGTCTAAATCGAAGCGGGATTGTCCTCATAGACTTTAGACTTTACATATCCCAACAAGAAAAAGTCTTACAGTGTGATATCACACGATCTTGATGGTCAATCGACCGGCCCACAACGTGAAATTACCGAAGTGTTCTCTCAATAAATCCATAGATTAATGTGATGATGGGAAGTGGTGCCGTCTTGTTGAAACCAAATTTCGTCGAGATCACTAGGTTAATTTTCAGGCATCAAATAGTCGGTTATCATAGCACGATAACGGTTGCCATTGACGGTTACGATGATGACAAACCACATCAAACCGTTGTTCTTACTGGATGAATTTGCAGCTGTAATTTTTTGGCTGTGTACTTTTGTGTTTTTATTTTAAAAAATGTTTCAAGTTTCATTGATTTTTTTTACCGTATTATCTGAGTTGCAAGATAAGTATTAAATGTTCTTAAGTTTTGTGCAGTATTAAAAAGTTTAAACTTTCGAATTATTGGTGCCGAGTCAGCTTTTTGTTTCATTTTGTTTTATTTTATTCTATTTTCTCTCTTTATTTATCTTATTTACTTCTTTATTCACAGCTGTATTGCGTTTAGCTTTTTATTTGTTACAGTGCTTCTAAAACTGCTCGCTATATTGCTTTTATAGCCAATTGTCTTGGTTTTAAACTTTGATAAAAAAATTGTTCTTAATTGAATTTATTATTATTAATATTTTATTAACACACTAATTTATTATTTATCTATTAAATTTTGTTCTACTTACTCTCTTATTTGATCTTCATTCTTGTGGTTTATTATGTCTTGTAACTTCCCCAATTGTAACATTCAAGGCGAGTCAGATCGCTACGTTTCATGCTGGCTTTGTGATGGGCTTGCCCATATTAAATGTGCTGGACTGACAGGTACAATCTTAGATTCTATTCTCGACTGTAAGGGATTGCGTTGGTCCTGTTTAAATTGTAGATCTATTGAAATCGATCTATTTAAGGTTTATAGGAAGACACGCAATGGCTTTAACGAAATCGGTCGTGATCTTGTAACCCTCACTGAAAAATTTAGGCACTATGAAAAATCGTTCAAATCTTTTAAGTGCCTGAATGATTCTCACGAATCCTCTAAACCTGCTCCTAAGCGTAAACGTCCTTCCGATGAAGTAAAACTTAGTTCTTCTGTACAGAAAAGAACGTCTCCTCCCAATGACCTAATAAATCTCTCTTCTCCTTGCCCTCAAGGTGATAAGCCGTCAACTTCCAAAGAGCTCAACTCCCCAAAAACTTTATCTAATAGTAATAAGTGTCTCACAATTCCAGACGCTCCCCCTATTAACTTAGTAGCATCAGTTAATAATTTGATAGTTGTTCCACCTAAAAAGACTATATTTATTTCGAGACTTGCCAAAGATACCTTGGTGGAGGACATTAAATCTTACATTTCGTCACGTTTAAAAATCGATGATATCAATATACGTAAATTTAACTTCAATTATGATAGAAGTATATCATCGTTTAAAATAGACGTATATCTTGAAACATTCAAAAAGATCTTAGATAGTTCATTCTGGCCACCTTGGGCTTTTGTACGCGAATTTAAACCTAAACTTAGAAGTCAAACTTAGGAAAACATTGTTAAATTACCAAAAGCAACCATCGATATAAAAAAACTGATTGGTAGAAATTCGCTAAGCATTTATTATCAAAATGTTAGAGGTCTTAATACAAAATTAACTGACTTGTATTTGAACAGTTTCAATTTTAATTTCCATATAATTGGATTTACAGAAACTTGGTTAAAACCTCACATTTTTTATAATGAGATTTTAAACAGCGAATTTCAAATTTTTAGATGTGATCGACTGA